GTGTAGTGAATTATTTGCAAGCATATTTCACTGCCCAGTGTAGCAAATTATGCCACGTGGCATTCTGAGAAAACTTACTGTTGACGTGGCAGTCTGGTAAATATTTTGGCCAGGCATGGCAAAATGGTCACTGTCCCAATACAACCATCCCATTTTAAATTAATGGATTCTTGATGTCGTAGGATGTGGGGACAAAAAACAATCCATACATGGCGTTTGTCTACACATCGTTCAAAGAGCGAGCCACTTTTGTATCACACGGTAACACGGCTCGGTCGGCTAAGGAGGGTGGTGATCCGGTGCTTGCACGCATATGCGGCACTATCGTTGCAGATGAGAAGCGCTAGGAGAATGCGTACGTGAGGATCATAGAGGAGCTTCTAAAAGCGGATCCCATAGAGACAATGATGGCCATAACATACATGATGCGCCACAAGATCACTATGCCAGCGCATTTAATGTATGATGGGCGGGACCCACGCCTCTTCGATCACTTCTCTGCAGTGGCACAGCGCCTCGACATATACATTGTCGGTGATTACACAGACATCATGGAGTTCTTGATCGAACGGTGGAGATTGGAGAAGCTGAAGGGTTTGACAAGTGAGGGAAAGCGTGAACAGGAGTTTGTGTGTGGGCTTCCACCCAAGATTAAGAGGCTGCAAGAGCGAGCTGAAAAGCGTGCGTGTAAGAATAAGATGAATGTAAAATTCAGTGGATCTTTAACAAAGATGTGCTCTTTTGAAATAAAGTGTAAAGAATCAATTCATCACAAAATTTTAAAGTGTTAGATGAGAATTTTTTTAATGGTTTATATTATTCTCTAACACACTCTCTCACACAAGAGCCCTTTGGGATTGAAGTGCGGATATTGCGCAGGCCCAATGTTTTTTTATTTTACCTTGTGTTTATTTTAGTTCCACTCGAAAGTGGGGGCGGTGAGAATCGAACCTGTGACCTTGTGGTCAATGAAACTATGATACCAAGTAAAGAATCAATTCAACCCAAAATCTTAAGGCGTTAGGTGAGAGCCTTTTTAATGATTTATATTATTCTTTAGCAGAAAGACCACTAGATGTTTACCATGAACCAAACCAGAATAATTTGATATAAAAACTTCGTTTTATGATTTTACTCCTCCATGTGGATAGAACATCTTATTGACTTCCCCGCATGTAATCAAAAGCTTCTTATTTACTATTACTATTAATTTATGGAAAAATTGATTTATGCCCTTTGTAAGAACCTGCACCGCTAAATAATTAATTAAATAAGATTATTGATGCTGGAGCATGGATTTGATAAAGATTATGCATAATTATGGAAAGATAAATATTTAGAAAGTCGAATAATACTTAAAGTCTCTTTTCAGACGAAATTTAGATGAAAAGTGCAGATATCGGTGTTGCTTCGCGGTATAAGTGTATACCGATAAAGTATCCCAAAAAATTATAATAAAATTATAAATATTCCTAGAAAAATATCTAGGACTAGAATATCAAGTTTGGACTAGAATATCAAAAGCTTCTTATTTACTATTACTATTAAAATATTAAGGGTGTGCATGACAACTATTCTATTCCCGAGCATTGTTTCTGAAAAGAAACAATTGTTTTCTATTTTTGTGCCTTGGAACAGTTTCTGAGAAAAAAATGTGTTTGACAACATGTTCCATTTTTATTCCAGCCTTGAGAATTGTTTTAGATAACACAACAAATAATATAATAAAAAATAATTCCTATTAAATATAAAAAAAATTCGGATCAACTCTTTCCTTTCCATATGGTGTGGTTGTGGTGGTGGCGGTGGCGGCGGTACGGTAGTGGTGGTGGCAGTGACGTGATGAAGATAGTGGTGGTGGTTGTGACGGCAGTGGCTGCGACGATGGCAGTGATAATGGTGGCAGCGATGGTGGTTGTGGTGGGGATGGTGGTGGTGGAGGTGACGGCAGTGGCAGTGTAAGAACCTGTACCGTTAATTAAGGTAATTAACTAATTAATTATGTGAAAATAGAAAATAATTCCATAATTGACCCTAATAATTATTAAGAGGCTTTAATAATTATGATAAGTTATTAAGAATGCTGAAAGTCGCTTTTCAGAAGAAAAGTGCAGATACCGGTTCTGCTAGTCGGCATAAATGCGTACCGAAAAAGTATCCCGGAAAATTATAATAAGTGCATGAATATTACTAAAATAATATATAGGACTTGTAAAACGAGTTTCAAGTCAAAATAATGAGAACTGGTGCCAGAAACTGATAATGGCTATGAAAAGCGCGTACCAAAAAGGTGCTCCGAAAAATATAAGAAAAATATGACTTCTTGTAAAATTGAGTAGGTTAAGAATCTTGAGTTTGGGATTAAAATGCTAAGCGTAGCAATTAAAGTTAATACTGTGTGTTTAATGCTTAAGTGGCCTATATATACCCTCATGATTGGCACACAACCCTAGAATCAGTTTTCCTACGTGAGTTTTTGTGGAGGCTGACCTGAATAGTGTCCCTTTGGCTTTCTTCTCCATTCCTTGACCAAGTAATCACCTTTGATGCTTGTGCCTTCATCTAAACACTTGTGCATTGTGTGAGTGATCCTTGTGAAGGTGAGAGATGGCCTTTTTCTGGTTGTGCAACTTCTGAGTTTTGAGTTTGGGGGCTGACCTTGTTGGTTTGAGTGTTGAGGAGCTTTGTTCTTTGCTTGTGAGGCTTCAAGGAGCAACCTTTGTTAAGAGAGAACCTTGGTGGTGTGTCTTTTTTCGTTTCTTGAAGAAGTCAGAACCTTGGAGTTGTCTTGTGAGCTCCAAGAGCACCTTTTGTTGGCTGGTTGAGCTTTGGGTGAGTTACCTTAACATGATCTTGAGTTTTTATGGCTTAAAGGTGGTGTCTTTGCATGTAAATGGGTTAAACAAGTAACTAACATGTGTATGAACCTGTATTGACCTAAAAATGGAGTCTTGAACGCATTTCATTGGTAAAAAGTGGACCTTTGGAGGATATCTTCACGAAATGCAGAAACTGCATTCTGTCGTGAAATATCCGAATATCTGATCGTGAAATATCCGGATATTGGATATCCGGATATGGGGATCTGGATATCCGGATATTGATATCCGGATATGTACAGTGAGATATCCGGATATTGGATATCTGGATATGCCCTCGAGAAATATCCGGATATTCTGGGATTTCGTAGAACAGTAGCTGTGTTGTGTGTACAGTAGGCTATTGGGGGTTTGTGGACCCTAGATTGATGAAGTTGAACTTCTGTAATTAATGAACTAAGTCAGAATCATGTGATTAAGGGCTTGTGGCTTTGTTAGAAGCCTTAAGACGTAAAACGTAAAGGAAAGACGTTGTCTTTAAGTGTATGCTTGTAGAGTTTGATTAATGTATTATTGGTCCATAACAGATTGTGATACTGCTGTGTTTGGGCTTTGAGATTGTGGACTCTTGGCTTGGATAGCTAGCTTGCAAGGTAAGCTTTTGTGTCCTCGGTTTAGCCATGTTGTGGTTCCACAATGTCCCATGGGGGTATGGTTATATGCATGTTGTGTTACATGCTTTTGATGTTTTGGAAATGCTATTGAGCTGTTATATGCTAGTGCCTTTATGATATGCATGTGGTGTTCCACCTATACGGTAAGCCTGAGTATGTAGTACATACAATATGGTGAGGTTGTGGGTGAGGTGCAAGCGGTGTTCCTTGTACTACATGTAGGTCTAGACGTATTCCTGCATTTCTCTGGCCAGTAGAATAGTATTAAACACACATGGCATGAATATCTGTTGCACTGCATAGTTTTGGAACTGATATTGATATTACTGCTTTTAGAACTTATTTTGCACATGTAAGTGAGCTTGGGGTGGAAGATCCTTGATGATCCCTTGTCTTACTGAGATTTCTGGTTTAGAGATCTCACCCCACGTTTGGGGAATGCTTATTTCAGGTTCAGGTAATGCAGGGATTGAGACCTCTAGTGGCAGGAGGCCAGAGCTTAGCTGATAGATGTTGCATGTTTATGCTGCTATGTTTGATGCTGGATCCTGTTTACTGTCTTATGCTTTTAGCTTCAGTTTATGGATTATTATGTTGAGACTTGGTTGATTATGTCATTGATTTGGTGAGCATGGGGATTGTCCATGCCACTTAGACTTGTTTATGTCTTGTTCTATTTGGAGTTGTATTAATGTATCAGGATATTGTCCGGATTACGTGTTGTAATGTCGTGACTTAGATACTCATTATATCTATATTTTGAGGTATTTCAGTTAGATGTCTTATTGCAATTTACATACAGGCGATATTTTATGAAATTGATTAAGTAATCAACTTGGCTAAGTATAATGACGTCATAATTGAAAAGAAAAAGATATTCCGCATTTTTAATTAAGCGCAGCTTAATACGATAGTATGATAACACTACCGGGTATACACAAGGTGTTACAGGAAGCGACAATGGTGGTGGGTATGGTGGTTGGTGGCGGCAACAATGGTAGCGGTGGTGGTGGTTGTGAAGACATCATGGTGGTGGTGGTGGCAGTGGCTGTGGCGGTGGTGGTAGGTGAGAGTGGTGGTGGTGGCGATGGCTTGGTGATGGTAGTGGTGGCGTTGGTGTAATGGTGGTGATGACGGTAATGGCTGTGACGATGGTGGTGGTGGTTGGTGGTGGCGACGGTGGTGAAGACGGTAAGTGTTACGACAATGGTAGTGGTGGTTGGTGACAGTGGTGGTGATGGTAGTGGCGGCGTCGTGGTGGTGGTAGTGATGGCGATGAGGGTGGTGGCACTGGCGTGTGATGGCGGTGGTGGCGGTGACGGCAATGGTTGCGATGATGGTGGTGGTGGTTGATGGCGATGATAGTGATGGTGATGGTGGTGGTGGTGGTGGCGGCGATGGTAGTTGTGGTGATGGTGGCATGGTGGTAGTGATGGGTGGAGGTGGTGGTAATGGTGGCGGTGACATCGTAGTGGTGAGGGGTGGTGACGGCGACACTAAAGGTACGATGGCGGCGGCGACGATGGTGGCGATAGTCGTGTCAGGATGATGGTAGTGGTGGTGATGATGGTAGAGGTGGAGAGTGATTGAGAGAGATAAGTGTTTCTCATTTTGAGCCCAGGAATAAAAAGCAGAAAATTTTTTATTCTTTTTTCTGTTCCCCAGCACAAAAATTAAACCAGTTCATCCTGGGAATAAAAAAATAAATCAGTTTTACCGAACGAGTTTCCTATCCATTTCTGTTCCCGGGAGTAGAAATTAAAAAATAATGGATTCCGAGAAAGTTGTCATGTTCACCATAAGTAGCCAGTACTAGAATGTACAGTCTTTTTTATGATGTACGACAAGTAGCCAGTGCTAGAATGTTTTAATGACCGAATTTCGCTCGCCCTCTGCTTGTACTTTCGCTTATTTTCTAAAACTGAATAACGCGTAATTCTTTGTAAGAGTGAAAGGATATAAGTTGTGTCATTTAAAATGATAAACACTTCTCCCTTAAACTATTGTGGATGATACAGACGTTGAAACTTTTAACCTACTGCACACACAAAAATGTATTCCCTTTTTTATTTTAAAAAAAAACAGAGAGAAACTTTTAACACTTGTAAATGGTCGCATAATTTCTAGATAGATTAAAAACAATTACGAGAACCATCTTCAAAATAATAATAATAATACATAATAAGTAATTATATTTTTTGGACTTTAAAAAAGATAAAAAAAATCTAATTTATTTCATTTAATTTAAGTTATATGCACTTAAATTTAAAATTTTAAAATAAAGTCTATTTTTTGTTGAAAACAACAGTGTATTTTAAAAACATATAAATTTAAAATAAAAATAAGATATTATTCTTATATTTTTTAATGTATATTTTATATGTTTTTTTCATTACTTTTATATTATAAACTCAATCGACCTTCATCTTTACTCTCTCCTCTTATTGATGATTGGAATTGTGATTTAATATAATTGGAGAAAAATTAATAAAATAAACTTAAAAAAATATGGGTATCATATCTTATTAAACAAGTTATGTATATGACTGATTTTTCACTCCAACCAAGTTGATCCAATTCTTATAATTATAGAGTGAGTTAATAATTAAGGGTGTACATAATAATTCTTTTTCGTCCATGTTATTTGATAGAAATATTTTTTTTTTTTATTTCTGTACTCAAGAACAAAGGATCAATTTTTTTTTTCCAAATTTTGCTTTTGGGTTTATTATTTAAAATAAAAAATAAATCGATTTTATGAAGCACAATTTTTTTACCATTTTTTCATTGATCAAAAATAAAAATTTATTTTTGTGAATTTTATCATGCACACACTAAGATGTCTTAGCTAAAGTCGTGGTTGAGAATGAGAATGAGGAAATCAGTGATCTCGGGTAAGACTAGCACAACTTATCTACTTGTATTTGGATACAGATATGGAGATGTCTTAGCTAAAGTCGTGGTTGACCTATAAGGGTATAGCTCGCACTGAACAGACCCACAAAGAGACTCTATGAGGAAATCTCACAGATAGTATCATTAGAGTAGTCTCTTTATATTTGGGTATGTCTTTCCTTAGACCAGAAGTTATTACCTAGACTGTGTTCTAGAAGGCATGCTTTGATTGTATACCTCGTCTGTCTGAAACATGGAGACTCATAGGTACACTGTTGGACTTGTCCTGAAAGAGCACAGGGCTAGGGTGATAAGCTGAAGGAATTCGTCAAATCTCTGTGAGAGATTAGGTTATCTGTAAACTGGAGAAATCGGGATGACATTTACTGGGACTCGGGAATTGAAGATGATTTGCCTTTAGAGTCAGTAAATTGAAGATTCCCTATTTCGAATAAAGCTTACCCTAAACCGCAAGGGTTAATACGTTTCCTTACCCTAGGTTTAATGGGAAGGTAACCGAGACGAAAGGAAATATATACGACAACCAAATATGTGTAATAGGATGATCAAGTCATTAATCTAACTAGCTCTGGGGAAACAAAACATTGCTAGTGCTCTGTGTTGTCATTAAATAGGTTGTGGGCTTGTTGGGCCTGAGCCCATTTATGTCAGTGACTATGTTGGACCTAATGGGTCACACACTAACACCTTATTGTCACGATGATCTAGCATTAAAGGTATTGGGCCTAATAATGGTTGTTAGCCCAAGAAGAAGTTTGGAAGCCCACCTAAAGGGAAAAGGGCACATGGATCATGTAATGGGCTTGGATGGTCCAAGACATTACTAATTAATTTAATTGGTTAAATTAATTATCAAATATTTAAATTTTGAATTTTGAATTTGAAATTTGAATTTTGAAATTTGAATTTTGAAATTTGAAATTTGAATTTTGAATTTTGAATTTGAGTTTTGAAATTTGAAATTTGAATTTAGAATTTAAATGTTTGAACGTTTGAATTTAAATGTTTGAATTCGAATTTGAATTGGCTGTGAAAAGTTGTTTCATAACAAAAGGATAAGATGAGATCTTGTTGGAACAAATCCCTTGTATCAAAAGGAGATCTTTGGAGATCATCCAAGGCTAAATAGGGTGCCACTTTTGGTTGGATATGAGTGTCATCTTGTCAATCAAACAAGCTCCAATCAGATTTGGTTGTTGAGAGAATCAGTGAGCTAGTTGGTTCAAACTTGAATGCAACTACTCAACGTATCTGGACCCCTTTTGGGGCTGAATGGTGCGCATAGATAGGATGGTCATATGATGACCATTAGGTCAGAATCTTGACTAGATAAAGACCTAGTCTCATGAGGATTCAAAGTGGAGGTTGTTGGGAATTTTGAATTGCAACAACTCCACATTTATCTCCTCTTGTTGTGCGCCACTTTTAATGTGATTAAAAGTGAAAAATATGAATCAACTCTCTAATTCCCTCACTCTCTTGTGCGCCAACTTGGGTAAGTTCTCCTTAGGGTTTTCACAAAAACTCCTACCTAATTCTACTCCAATCCATGCCCCACTCTTGTGAAGTTTTCATGTTGAAGACTTCACTCTTTTAAACACCTTTACCTAGCCTCCTCCTTCACACATTGGACGCCTAGCAAGCTTGGTGTGGTGGTCAATTGGCGGCTTTCAAGAAAGTGTTCTTGCATCTTGATCTGGGTGGTGTGGATCAACGTTAGAGGGTTTGAACCCTTCAAACCTGACAGTGATCTCCTTGCTGTTTGAATCACAAACAAAGGTAACATCATGCTGTCTTAAAGCATGAGTCTTGAATGCATGTGTAGTTCCGCTTGAAAAATTGTTTTTCCCTCTCACATGCTTTGGCCTTCAAGGCCATTTAACTTTCACATCCTTTATTAATTTATTCATTGTATTATTGACATGCATTCTTTTGTTCATTTATACACAAATATGAGAGAAGAATTTTATCAAAAGAAGAAAGAAATCTAATTGGTCGATCGATACTGTTAGTGTAAAAGATTTTTACACTAATATTAATTAATATTTTTACAAATTGTTTTTTTTACAAGTAATCTATCTCTCGTTTGAAAGAAAAGAGGTGCAACCTTATGTAAATATTTGCATAAATAGGTCAATATTGAAATTAATAATGGTATACAATTTTATTTTATTTTTATATTTTAATTAACCCTCCAACATCTAGTTTTATTTTAAGCTACAAAGCATCCTAATATAATTCTAACTGTAATATATATTCCTGCTACGAATTAAATAAACAACAGTAATTAAGTAAATTAAATTTATTACATATGTTTTAAATTAAATGATTCTAGCTTGTTGTAGGATTTGGGGACAGAAAATAACCCATACATGGGGTTTGTCTACACATCGTTTCAAGAGCGAGCCATTTTTGTATCACACGGTAACACGGCTCGGTTGGCTAAGGAGGGTGGTGATCCAGTGCTTGCGCGCATATGCGGCACCGTCGCTGCGGATGAGAAGCGCCACGAGAACGCGTACGTGAGGATCGTAGAGAAGCTTTTAGAAGTGGATCCCACGGGGGCCATGATGGCCATAGCATACATGATGCGCCACAAGATCACCATGCCAGCGCATTTAGTGTATGATGGGCGGGACCCACACCTCTTCGATCACTTCTCTGCGGTGGCACAACGCCTCGGCGTGTACACTGCCGGTGATTACGCAGATATCATGGAGTTCTTGATCGTAAGGTGGAGATTGGAGAAGCTGAAGGGTTTGACGAGTGAGGGAAAGCGTGCACAGGATTTCGTGTGTGGGCTTCCACCCATAATTAGGAGGCTGCAAGAGCGAGCTGAAGAGCAAGCGCGCAAGAACAAGATAAATGTCAACTTCAGCTGGATCTTTAACAAAGAGGTGCTCCTTTGAAAGAAAGACCACTAGATGTTTATCATGCACCAGAATAATTTGATATAAACACTTCGTTCTAAGATTTTACTCTTCCATGTGGATAGAACATCTTATGGACTGCCCGGCATGTAATCAAAAGCTGCTTCTTCTTATTTACTATTACTATTAATTTATGAAAAAATGATTTATGTTTTTATGCAGAAAACATTGAGAATGATATGTTTACAATTTTTTTTTTTACAAATTACACTAAGTATGACCGGTCATACACTCTTGATTAGTGTATGACCAATCAGACATAGTGTAGTTTATAAGAGTTTGTAAACAAAAAGTTTATAAATATAACTTTCTCCAGAAAACATTTATCTGGACAAAAGCACTGTATTAAGAATGTTTTGTGAAAGATTTTCCTACTAAAGATGTAGTCAAAGAGGTCCACTTGACAAGATCAGTCTCGTAAGAAATTTTTTCAACACTAATGATACAGATGAAGTATCTGTAACAGAAGTAACTAACTATGTGTTGTTTTATTTCTTCAATGCAGTAATCCTTTACAATACACCAATCAGTTCCTTATATTTGCATTACATGCCACATTGGCCAATAACCCACTACCCTTACTAACTACCCAATAGCATATACAGAATACACTTATTGACTACCTAATAGCATATACAGAAGACACTTAGGCCTATTGGACATAGTCCTTAAACCATATTGGGCCACTTCTCAATCTTGTTTCGCTTTCCTTCGAAGCCACAACTCCTTCACTCGTATCAACTGCCCTCTCTTCGAACGCTACCTTGTCCTCAAGGTTCAGATTCGGGTAAGCTTTGCGCAGCTCAAGAGCATCGTCCCAAGATGCATCTTCAAGAACCGTAGCTGACCACTGGACCAAATATTGTTGTTTTGGTCTACCACTAACCTTCACTTGACGCGAAGCTAATAGTGCAATAGGTTGTTGAACAGGTTTATTTTGCACTGTTAATTCTGGAAAAGGTTCAAAACTCACATCATTGGCTCCGTAAAACGGTTTCAACAATGAAACATGGAAAATAGGATGTATCAAGCTGCCTTCTGGTGAGGTGAGTTTGTAAGCTACAGGGCTAATTACTTTCTCCACCTTGTAAGGTTCAAAATACCTCTTTGCTAATTTATGATTTTCTCTTCTTACCATAGACAATTGGCGATATGGTTGTAACTTCACCAAAACAATATCCCTTACCTTGAATGTGTGTTCCTGCCTATGCTTGTCAGCTTGGTGTTTCATTCGTTCTTGAGCTCTCTTCAATTGAATCTTCAAATAGCTCAACACCTCTTGTCTCTGCTGTAACATCATATCAACAGCCTCTACTTGTACAGTACCTTTTTGATATTAAGGAATTAACACTGGAGTCTTCCCATACACTGCCTGAAAGGGGGACATGTTAATCGCAGAGTGCACTGATGTGTTATAATGCAATTCTGCCCAACATAGCGGCTGAGACCATTTGGAATTTTGCTCAGAGCAAAATGCTCTCAAATATTGCTCAAGATAGCGATTTGTTACTTCTGATTGGCCATCAGTTTGGGGATGGTATGCTGAACTTGCAAGTAATTTGGTATCACTCAACTGAAACAAATGATGCCAAAATTTGCTCATGAACACTGCATCACGATCTGAGAGCAATGATCTAGGAAAACCATGATGTTTAACCACTAATTTACAGAAAAGCTGCGCAACTGTTGCAGCTGTATAGGATGATGGAAGAGAGCCAAAAGGGGCATATTTGGATAATCTATCCACTACCACCAGAATTGTAGTAAACCCATTGGAATGAGGGAGTGATGTAATGAAGTCAAGTGTTAAATCATGAAAGATGGAATCAGGAATAGGTAAAGGTTGTAGCAATCCCAAGGGAAGTTGGGTTGATGTTTTGATGTGCCGACAAATTGTGCATTCTTTGATGAATCTCTTAACATCATTACACATATTTTTTCCAAAAAAATGAAGCAGACAAACGCAAATATATGCGTTGGATGCCAGCATGGCCTCCTACTGGTGTGCAATGTGCTTCACTTAACAGTGTTTCTCTAAGGGAAGACTTAGACCCTAATATACATCTATTATTGTGAAAAATGATATCATGGCGTCTGGATAATGCAGAATCACTGTATGTACCTTCATTCAAAGCTTTGTGAGTCTCTAGCAGCTCTTGATCTTGTTTGTTTTCTTCCTTAATTTTCTCCCAAATATTTAATGTTGGTTCAGACCTCAAGGCATATATAAGTGCCTTGTCATCCTCAGGAAATTGCCTTGATAATGCATCCTCTACTATATTAGAGGCTCCTGATTGTATTCTATGATAAAATGGTATCCCATTAACTTGTAAAGATACTTTTGCTGATCTGCTATATGAACAGTTTGATGAAGAAATTCCCTTAAACTCTGGTAATCCGTTTTAATTACAAAATGGGACCCAAGGAGATAATGACGCCACCTTTTGATTGCCTTAGTTAGTGCATACAATTCACGAACATATGCTGATGATGCTGCCATTCTTGGACCAAACTTCTTGCTAAAAAATAAATTGGTTTTCCCTTTGTAACAGCACTACACTAGCTGCTACATTGGAAGCATCGGATTCAACTATGAAGGGTGATGTGAAATCTGGAAACTGTAATATTGGAGTGGATGACATTGCTTCCTTCAAGGCTGAAAAGGCAGAATTTTCCTCCTTGCTCCATATAATCTTGTCTTGCTTCAATAATTCTGTTAAAGGATGAGCCAAAGATGCATAGCATTTCACAAATCTCCTACAGTATCCTGTTAAATCGAGAAATGCCCCCAATTGTTTGATTGATTTGGGAATTGGCCAATCTATCATAGCTGCTATTTTTCGAAGATCTACTCTGACACCTTTTGCTATCATAACATGTCTCAAATAAGCTATCTCCTCAACCCCGAACTTACATTTACTGAGTTTAACAAAGAAATAATTTTGTAGCAGACAGGTCAAGGCTATTTGGAAATGACTAACGTTGCTACTCTAAGGATTCACTATAGATTAAAACCATCAAAAAATACCACAACGAATTTCTTCAAAAATGGGCGAAAAAACCCATTCATTGCAGCTTGAAAGGTTGCAGGTGCATTTGTGAGGTCAAAAGGCATCACTTTGAACTCATAATGACCATCGTGAGTTCTAAAAGTTGTTTTATGTATGTCATCTGGTTTCATCCTAATTATTTGATGATACCCTGAACGCAAGTCCAACTAAGTAAACACCTTGGCATCAAAAAGTTCATCCAATAGTTCATCTATTATTGGAATAGGAAATGCATCCTTAATGGTCATGGCATTTAAAGCCCGATAATCCACACACATTCTCCAAGTGTGATCATATTTTCTAACTAGTAACACAGGAGAAGAGAAGGCACTATGGCTATGTTGAATCCATCCATTAGCCAACAATTCTGCAACTTGTTTCTTTATTTCCTCCTTGTGATGGTGTGGATACCTATAAGGCTTGACCTTCACAGATTTGGAATTATCCAACAACTGAATTGCATGCGTTCTGTCTTTGAAGGTTGGTAAGACCTTTGGTTTATCAAATACTTGCTGAGAGCTGACTAAGGTATGCCATAATATTACAGGAATCTTCTCTTTTAAAACTAAAAGATCAGCATTTACCTCTTCCTCACTGGTGTAATTTTCTTGCCCCTCAATAGTATTCCATGTGGCATCTGTTACTGCATTAATTTGCTTATCTTGATGTGTCTTCACTCCATGTAATGTAATCAACTTCCCCCGCAAGTAAATTCCATCAGGAGTTCCTCATAATGATGAGTAACTCTCCCCAACGTCACCAACCATTTCATTCCCAACACTATATTCAAATCACACAGCTCCACCACATATAATTTTGTTTTAGAACAGTGCCCCTGAATCAACAATTTCACCTTAGGACATTTCTTTTCACATAATAAGAATTCTCCATTACCCATGAAAACTCTCATCTTGGTGGTTCGTTGTTGCGAAATCGGCAAGTATACCGTTCGTTTCAAGTAATAAAATGATAAGTAAGATATCGTCTCACGAGGATTAATGCACCAATAACTAATTTTAACTATTCCATTTGAATTGGAAGAAAAGAATTCGGTTGGTTGTGAAAATATTTATGATTGTAATTTAAAAATAATAAAATTCAAAAGCATGCAAAAAAATGAAGAACGTCAAGAAAATATGAGAGTGATTAAAAATTGTAAAACAACTGCAGTCAGGATGCACTTCACCTCCGATCCTCCCTTATATTCCTAAATTATATTTAACTAATTTATTAGCTTAGACAATTCATTATTCCTTATAAAATAATTAAACCATAATGTCTTAGTGATTTCAACTCTTTAACCCAATTAGAATCCTAGTGTCCTAGTAATTCCTTTTGAATTAAGCATTAAGCAAATGAATTAAAAGTCTGCAATCTATGTAAGCCTATATCTAGGTCATACATGGATTGTTATTCTACCCTTGTCCATATTAAAACCCCAATATGTCTATTGTGAGCCCTAACCCTCAAAACTCTATAATAGAGCGATCAATTCTATCAAGGATATGGAAAAATTAACACAGACAGAATAAAACTAACTAAACTAATTAATTTAAAAAAAATATATAGAAAATATAAAAGATTCACATTGGGTTCGTGATCCCAACTACAAAAATAAATTAGCCAGACATATCTGGCTTTAACAATTCAAAATAGTAAAAAGAATTCAAAACAAAGAAAGAAAAGAAAAAAATGAAGAAGAAAGATCAATGGTCTTCAATCTTCAAGTTCTCCGGAATCTTGATCTCCAGCGTGAGTCTCCTCCTCTGAATATTGTTGCCTCTGTCGAATTGTCCTCTGTGTTTCTAATAGTTGCCTTTTTATAGGGATGAAACCATATCTTTTAATTTCTCATAATATCTTCATTGGAATCTTCACTAGAATCTCCTATCATATCTTTGATCCAATCCTTCAAATCTTCTCTCTCTTTTTTGGTAATCTAATCTTCCCTTTTTTAATTTAATGGAAAATTTTCCTTAAAAATATTCAAAGGAAGATTTGATAAGATCTTCAATGATTCAAAAATTCAAAGCAACTCTACTTGATATCTTCAATTTATCTCTTTATTGAGCTGAAATTACTGCAAAATATAAGAAATCTTATGAGAATATTATTGAAAATAAAATAACAATTTAATTATAATTCTCATAACTTTTAATTACTTTTAAATTAATTTCATGCTCATATTGACCCTTAATACATAGTAAATTGAAGACTCATCATTCGTACCATTGGTAATTGAAGTTGCTTAGCCAATTCCCTCCTTATAAAACTATGGGAACTACCAGAATCAATCAAAACCTGAACCTTTTGATTGCTTACTGTTGCTATTAAAATCAGTGACTGGGCATCTGCAGGCCTAGAGAAGGAATGTAAGGAAGCATTTATCCTTTGCCCTTGGTTATCATCCTGATGCCAAAGGATTTCTTCTTCCAATTCCCCTTATGGCTCCTCATCATCCACAATCACGAACAACATCTTGGCTTTGCAACAATGTTTATTTGCCCATTTTTCATCACATGTATAACACAATCCTAACTCTCTCTTTTTTTGTAAATCTTTAGAAGTTAATTTCTTCACAGGTAATAAAGCATTTGCAGTTGGAAAATTAGCATTACTTTGTGATGAATTTGATATTGCATTAGATCCTACCTTGTCTGTAGACCCCCCCCCCCCCCCCCAAACTTGTCTTCTAAAAGAACTTCTTTGGCTGGTTTGTGAAGGAAAACCGCAACTCTCCATGATGGCTATCATATGCTATAGCTAACTGCATAGCTTGATGCAATGAAGTTAACCAACGTAGCTATATAGCACCTTGTAGATCCGGTTGCAACCCACCAATGAAAAATGTCATTAACATATCATCACTTACATTGGTCACTTGATTCATCAATTTCAGGAACTCTGCCATATACTCTGCCAATGATCCTTTTTGCATCAACTTCGCTAATACTCCTAGAATATCCTTGTAATTTGAAGGCCCAAAATGTTCACACACTTCCCGCACAAATGTTTCCCAGGATATGATGGTTCCACCAGTAAAGATCCACTAGAACCAATCTACAGCCACCCCTTCCATTCGCAACCCTGCGAGTTCAACTTTGAAGTTTTCTGGAACTTGTTGAATTTTAAAAAAAACTCTGTTTTGAAAATCCATGTATTAGGCTCCTTCCCATCCAATTTAGGTGTTTCTGGCTTCAAAAATTTCAGAACTGCTCTGGGATCTTCATGGTTCCCCATCGAATACTCACCTTCGCGTTAATGATGAAAATTATTCAGAGAAGAAGTTTCTGAGGATGACCTTGGTGCCTGCATCATCAATTCTCGAATGTTCGATTGGAATTCTTGGAACCTAGACTCCATGGTTACCAATAACTGTTCAAAATACTGGTTATTCTGTTCGCGATATTGTAGAAATTCTTCTGCAAGCTCTTGAATCTTCATCTCGCGAAGATCGATGGAGTCCACAGCAATGAAAGCACCAATGATACAGATGAAGTATCTATAACAAAAGTGACTAACTACGCGTTGTTTTATTTCTTCAAGGCAATAAATCCTTTACAATACACCAATCAGTTCCTTATATTTGCATTACATGCCACGCTGGCCAATAACCCACTACCCTTACTAACTACCCAATAGCCTATACATAATACACTTATTGACTACCCAATAGTGTATACAGAAGACACTTAGGCCTATTGGACATAGTCCTTAAACCATATTGAGCCACTTCTCAATCTTGTTTCTCTTTCCTTCTTCACTCGTATCAACTAATTTCGTCAAACAGATTGACGACACTCATTTTTCCTTTGCCCCCCTTTTTTTTTTCTATGTATGACCTTCCATGTACTTGGATAAAGAACTCTTGTACTACAAATATGCAAATCGCAAGCACCACGACATATTACTAATTATATCAACATGACAGTTTATTATACTTCGTATGCTGTGAGTCACTATGGGTTATGTAACTTACAATCATCCATGATCCAGAGGACAAAGGGCTCAAGCTGAAAATGATTATTAGAAGTATATTTTGGGGGAAACCAAAAAGAAAATATTTGAAATGGCAATGGAAAGGGAAATATTGGATTTATTTGAGTTTTCCTTATCTCTAAAAGCTTTTTTTTTTAAATTTAATCCCCTGTTAAAAACATTTGTTTGTAAACTTTGCTTTTTGAGGTTAAACCTCTGTATTTTTTCTCACCTTTCCGTCTTTGGAATCAACTTTATTTAGAAACAAGCATCCTAGGACATGCTTATGCTCTTTAGTCCCCACGATTAAATTTTTAGTGGTTCAATCATACATTTAGTTGGAAAGAAAACTCTGTCTATTATATACAATCTTAATTCATAAAATTTATACGTTTTGTATTCAGACTATTATAATTGCCTCACTTTTTATGGCTAAACTTGAAACTTGCAGTTGGATATAATTATGAATATGGGACCAAGAATTCTTAATACTGGGCACATAACTTCTATTATGTATGACCATCCTCGATTACAAAGTCATTGGGCACATAAAGTGCTCACTTCTATTATCTACGTACACGGAAGGTCATACATAGAAAAGAGGCAGGAAAATAGTGGAAGTGTCATCAATGTGTTTGACGGGATTAGTAAGGGACCAATACATGAGTTGACATGAGATAGGAGTGCCATCAATATTTCAGAAAGGGTTAGTGTTGTGAGAGTTCCTCCCTAATGGGATTAGGTGCCGTCAACTTCTCCTACGAGAACTATCTCGTACACCAATGGTACCGTAACAATATCCTACGAGATTGGTCCCATAATTTTCTTTGACATATTTGACTGCATTACTCTGATATTTTTTTATCAAATGTGCTTTTAATAGAAAAATCTTTCCCAAAACATCCTTAATACGGTGTTTTTGCCCATTTATCTACCACTAAAAGAAAATCAGAGAGAGAAACCGATAAAGAGAGTAAAACCCATGTAATTATGATTTTTTTTCTCTCAATGGCAATATTGTCTGCCACCAAGGTAGAAATTATTTTCCCTTACTTTATTACTTTAAAAAAGTACACTAATATATATATATATATATATATATATATATGCCTCCAAGGTAGAAATTATTTTCCCTTACTTTATTACTTATATATATATATATAATATATATATATATATATATATGGGGAGGGATCTTTGGACTTTAGAGTAAGACTTACAACTCTTACTCCTCATCTCAACCGTTTATTTCTGTCAATCTAACGGTTATCTATACCAATTAATTAATTATTAAATTCAAATAAATAATAACAGTTAGATGGACAGAAATCAACGGTTGAGATGAAGAGTAAGAGTTGTAAATCTTACTCTAGAGTCAAAAGATCCCTCCCCTATATATATATATATATATATATATATGAGAAAAACATTTCTCAAACTGCTTGAGATAAATTTATTTCTGACCATACCAAAACTACGTCGTTTTGATTATTTATTTCCTTATATTTATTGATTCACCTTTAAATGGTTATGATTTCCCTTTTCTCTATCTTCCTTTATCACCATTGATCCATCTTTGTACGGTTATGATTTAGTAGCCGGAAATAACTTTATCTTCGGCAGCTTGAGAAATGATATATATATATATATGAGGTAAGATCCTTTGACATCAGTGTCAAATTTAATTTGACACCTCATCTAAGAGCTATTATATCAAAAAAGATCAACGACTCTAATTTGTAAGAATGTAACACCATTGATGTTTTTTGATCTAATAACTCTCAGATGAGGTGTCAAATTTCAAATTTGACACTAGTGTCAAAGAATCCTATCTCTCTCTCTATATAGGTTTAATAAATGTCCTTTTAGGAGTTTTAACTATACATTCCCCAAAAAACATAGTTAAAACTGTTAAAAGAACACTCTTTTTTCCACACACACACACATATATATATATGTGTGGGAATAACATTTATCCTTTTAAAGGATATAAACTTATATCATTTTAGATCATAACCGTTGATTTCCGTCCATCAACGGTAATACTTTATTAGATTAAAATTATTAATTAATTAATAATAAATTTGGCCCATTAAGTTTGGCTCAATAGATTATAACCGTTGATGGACGGAAATCAACGGTTAGGATCTAAAAAGATATAAACTTATATCATTTAAAAGGATAGATATTTTTCCATATATATATATAAAAACCACATTTTACAATCCCAGTAGTAAAGGCCCCATCATTCTCTACATTAAAACTTCAACTTCACAAATACAATAATCCTAAAGGATTACATATGAAATTTATTTTTCACAACCAGAAAGAGAACTCTGTCCCCCAATGGAGACTATTGCATCATTGTTTCAGATTATTACTCCTCCATGCGGATGATACACCTGATGGACTCCCCTTTCAGCATGTAATCAAAAGCTTTGTTAATCTCCGAGAATGTAACTGTGTGAGTGATGAATTTATCCAGTTCCAGCCCCTGCAGTATCACCATAACATAACATTAGCAACACAGATAAAATATCATCCTGCAATGACTCTTCCAAAAGCCTGCACAATTCAACGTATAAGCTTACCCCTGCCATGTATTTCTCCACAACAGAAGGAAGATCAGTGCGGGGTTTGTAGTTACCATAGAAGGTACCCTTAAGAGTCCTCTCATTTAAGAAATTCATAGGATGAGTTTTGAATGCATCATCTTTGCTTGGCACTCCAACAAGTACAGCAACACCCCAACCCTGAGAATAAGAAATCAAGTTCAGCCTTAGCAAGCTTTATATAAACTTCTTAGCAACAAGTAGAGCAAATGAGTTCTGATTTACGTACATCGTGGACACATTCGAATGCTGAGATCATGGCCTGGATGCTGCCAGTACATTCAACAGCACGATCCACACCTCCATTGGTCATTTCAGCAATCACCTGTACATCAACATTCACATCTCAATCTCTCACACCACCAAAAAAGACACAGCATTTTTTACTCATAGCATCAGAATTTAAAATTCAAAATTGAAAAAACATAGCTTTAAGAAAATAGAAATATAATAGACTATACTAAATTGTCCACTAACTAACCTGTTGTACGGGTTTGTCATGATCTTTTGGGTTCACAAACTCATTGACCCCAAACTTCTTAGCTGCCAACAAGAATAAAATCAGAAATACCATCAATATGTGAACAACCATTTAATTTATGTTTAGTTGAATCTTCCAACATTTGATGGAAGAAGGTATTTTACCTTGTTCAAATCGGCTGGAAACTAAATCAATCCCAATGATTCTTGATGCACCAGAAATTCTTGCCCCTTCAGCAGCCTAAATTTGGATTGAAGAGAAGAACAGGAGTTAAATTTGGCCTTTATCAGTTTCTATAAAATCTTCACACACACACACACACAAGGGCTTAAGGGTAACATACAGCAAGGCCAACAGCACCAAGTCCAAAAATGGCAACAGAAGAACCAGCTTTTGGTTTTGCAACATTGATAGTAGCACCAAGACCTACAAGCATGAATGAAATTGAATTGTGAGAAAATAGAATCACCTGGCTAGTTTAACTGCTTTTTCTAACATTATATACTACTATTTCAAAGGTAAGGATCTTCCATACCTGTGCATATTCCGCAACTGAGAACACAAATTTTGTCAAGTGGGGCAGCAGGGTTGACCTTTGCAACACATCCAGCATGGCACACAGTGTATTCACTGAATGTAGAGGTGCCCACAAAATGATATACGGGTTGTCCCTTAATAGAGAATCTTGACTGGTTGTCATTGATCATGACACCTCTATCAGTGTTGATCCTTAACAGATCACACATGTTGCTCTCTTCTGACTTACAATGTGAGCATTCCCCGCACTCCCCAGTGAATACAGGGAGTGCATGGTCCCCTGGTTTCAGATGGGTCACACCCTCGCCTACACTCTCCACAATCCTGAATAACATCATGCCAACATTATCCTTAACATGTATTCAATGAACATACTAGGAAAAACAGAAGATTTAACCCATAGTAGTCTACGTAGAAACCAAATAATAGTCTTGAGAAAAATGAAAGAATATATCAAAATATATAAGACAAAGATTCATAATATGTGATTCTGTGGAGAATGTTTAGAAATGAAACATACCCTCCAGCTTCATGACCAAATATACGAGGAAACAATGGAGTCTGGCCCTGAAATGGGGGGAAAAAGAAAATCATATTAAATTATTGCGATGCAAAACAACAGGACATTACAGAAAAATAAATTTTGAGTATGAAACTAACCACTCCAATTTTTTTTATGTAATCAAATCAAAGTACATTAAAAGAGGGCGAACCGGAGCAGTGGTAAAACTGTTCCTTCATGATGGGTTCGAATCCAGGAAACAGCCTCTTTGTAATTATGCAAGGGTAAGACTGTGTACAAGGATTTCCTCCACCCCACCCTCGTAGTCGGGTTTAAACAGGGAGTGTTTTTTTTTTTAATCAAATCAAAGTACATCAGCTAAGTTTAAATTAATTGTGGTGGGTAATAGAGGAAATTGCAAATGAGATAAAAAAAATTGTTACCTTGGCCTCCCAGAAGTAAACATCAGTATGGCAAAGGGAGGTGTAGAGGATCTTCAAACGCACTTCACCAGCCTGTGGTGGAGCCACCTCTACTTCTTCCATTACCAGCGGTTTGCCTGCCTCCCAAGCAACCGCAGCTAGTACATTTCCAAAGTACAAATCAAAGCATATAGTTAGTAATACACATTATCACTCGTACAAACAAAACAACAAAGTAACGTGACTTCTTATCCAATATTCAAAAATAAGAAACAGTTCTTATATATGCATACCAAAATTGATAAACCAGATTTACACCGGTTAAAAATTTATTATTAGTTTTTTAAACAAGCTTGCATATCATTAACCATTGTAAAATAATATAACTAGTCAATGTGCGCAAATAACATTTATTTAAATAGAAAATAACAACCCAAAATTGGCCATCAGAAGGATCCGAAGAAAGAAAGAGTCATTATAATTTTCAGATAAACATAAACGTATACATCACTTTTATCCGTTATATTAAGAAAAAATAAACAATTAATATATATGATAACAAAATAAAATAATATTATAATTTCCAGGTACAGAATCCACCAAAACATTCTACAAGTTTAAAGTTAAGACCCAGGTTTCTTTCTAAAATTTGAAGTGATCATAACAAGATTAGATATTGATCATGATGTAAATCCGATAAATTAATACCCAATTAACTAAAGAGATTAAGAAAAAAAAAAAAAAAGACTAGAATAATCTATTTACAGTTAACAGTAAGAAACAACACGCAATTAATTTATCAGGGTAACAAAAACAGAGAAAACCCAAGCCAGATCAAAACAAACGACAGTGAAGGTTGTATCAGTGGTGATGATTGCATGGCTCACCTCTGCACTTGATGACCTTGCCAACTGTGCTCGACATAGCTTAGTAGTTACTGTTACTGAGAACGAAGATGAATCAATAGATGACGATTGTGACTGACAACTGAGAATTGATGATCGAGTTGGTAATGTACTGTGAAACAAACGGTGCCCTTGTGGACTTAACTTATATAGTGGCAGACACAGGAAAACGAAACCACTCAAAGGTTCTCGAAACGTTCGACAATACCACTTAGGATTCGATACCGCTGTTGTTTTATTTCCAAGCGGCGCCTTTGGTTCACTGCTCGCAGCCACGCTGTTGTGTTTGACGGTTTTGAACTTTCTTTAAGCGCTGTGGCCAATGGCCATCAAGTCGTAATTACAAGTGGTTTGATATTAAGTTGTTTTTTTAAAAGATTATAGGCCTTGATGTGATGTATAAAGTGATAGTATAACTTTATAATATACTAGTGAATTACCCCTGAGATGCTTGGAAAAAAAATAAAATATTTATCGTGTTTTATATTTCAGGTGGAAAAAACTACCGCATTGACAAAGAACTTTACAAATATCAACCACAAACAAAAATCTGTTATCCGGAGTGATCAATATTATGAAATCAAATATAGTCATATACTCGATGAGTTATGTAAAAAATAAATACGCCATAGTCACAATTAGGTTTTTATATTTTATATCAGAGATAGACCTTCCTTCATTACAATCAGATTTAAAAAATAATAATAAATAATTATTTTTTGCAATAATTTGTGTCGTTTGTATTTGAAATTTTAAAAATTTGTATTTACAAAAATTAAAATCATATTTAGGAAATTTTATTTTAGGAATTTAATTATAAAAGAAGAAAGATAAAATTTTAATTTAATTATAAAATGTGTTGGTGGACCGGCCATCCGGGTCGAACCCAGTTTGTCACCTCTAACTATTAGCATGTAATATGTTTTTATATTTATCCACAAAAAAGGCTATCATAGTTGCGTCTATGTTTTTATATTTTATCTCAGAGAAGAACTTTCATTTATTGTAATTATATTTACAAAATAATAATAAATAGTTATTTTTTTTGTAAGGATTTGTGTTGTTAATATTTAAAATTTTATAAATTTGTATTTACAAAATTTGAAATCTCAGTTAGGAATTTAATTATAAAAAAAAATAGTGAAATTTTAATTTAATTATAAAAATATATTGGCAGGTGGGGAAGGCAGGCCCTCTGGGCCAAGCCCAGTTTGTAACCTTTAACCATCAGCATTTGATGTAAATAATTATTTTCTTGCAAGGATTTGTATCATTAGTATTTTGAATTTTACATTTTTATATTTACAAAAATTAAAATCAGATTTAAGAATTTAATTATAAAAGAAGAAGGATGAAATTTTAATTTATTTATAAAAATGTGTTGGTATGGTCGGCCCTCCGGGCCTAGCCCAGTTTGCCACCTCTAACTATTAGCATGTCATAGATTTTTATGTTTATCCACATAAAAAAGGCTCTTATAGTTGCGTCTAGATTTTTATATTTTATCTCAGAGATGAATTTTCATTTATTACAATTAGATTTATAAAATAATAATAAATAGTTATTTTTTGGAAAAGATTTCTGTCGTTAATATTTAGAATTTTATAAATTTGTATTTACAAAAATTAAAATCTGAATTAGGAATTTAATTATAAAAGAAGAATAGTGAAACTTTAATTTAATTATAAAAATGTGTTGGCAAGCCGGGCGGGCAGGCCCTCTGTGCCAAGCCCAGTTTGCAACCTTTATCCATCAGCATTTTATGTAAACAATTATTTTTTTGCAAATATTTGTGTCATTATTATTTTGAATTTTATAAATTTATATTTACAAAAATTAAAATCAGATTTAGGAATTTAATTATAAAAGAAGAAGGATGAAATTTTAATTTACTTATAAAAATGTGTTGGTAGGGTCGGCCCTCCAGACCGAGCCCAGTTTTGTCAACTCTAACTATTAGCATGTAATAGATTTTTATGTTTATCCACACAAAAAAGGCTCTTATAGTTGCGTCTAGATTTTTATATTTTATCTCAGAGATGAACTTTTATTTATTACAATTAGATTTACAAAATAATAATAAATAGTTATTTTTTTGTAAGAATTTCTGTCGTTAATATTTGGAATTTTATAAATTTGTATTTACAAAAATTGAAAACTGAATTAGGAATTTAAATATAAAAGAAGAATAGTGAAATTTTAATTTAATTAAAAAAATGTGTTGGCAGGCCGGACAGGCAGGCCCTCTGGGCGAAACCCTGTTTGCAACCTTTAACCATCAGCATTTTATGTAAACAATTATTTTTTGTCAAAGATTTGTGTCATTAGTATTTTGAATTTTATAAATTTATATTTCCAAAAATTAAAATCAGATTTAGGAATTTAATTATAAAAGAAGAAGGATGAAATTTTAATTTACTTACAAAAATGTGATGGCGAGCCTAGTTTGCTACCTCTAACTATTATCATGCAATAGATATTTATGTTTATCCACACAAAAAAGGCTCTTATAGTTGCGTCTAGATTTTTATATTTTATCTCATAGTTGAACTTTCATTTATTACAATTAGATTTACAAAATAAAAAAAAAATTGCCAGGATTTGTGTCGTTAGTATTTGGAATTTTATAAATTTATATTTACAAAAATTGAAATCTGAATTAGGAATTTAATTATAAAAGAAGAATAGTGAAATTTTAATTTAATTATAAAAATGTGTTGGCAGTCGGGGCGGGCAGGCCCTCTGGGCCAAACCCAGTTTGCAACCTTTAACCATCAGCATTTTATATAAATAATTATTTTTTTGCAAAGATTTGTGTCATTAGTATTTTGAATTTTACAAATTTGTATTTAGGTGTGTCTCATTCAAATAAAGTGTAAATTTCTTTTTTTGACAACTAATAAAGTGTAAATTAACAACTTCACAAAGAAAGTGGGATTTTATTATCTACCAAAATTATTATGTACAAAAAGAATAGAGGATTATTTTTATTTTTATTTTATTTTCATTTTGGTGTAAGAAATTAAAAATTAGATGATTATTTAATTTCAATTATTTTATACTATACCGGTCACGGACCATAGTATTTGATTTATAATTTTGAACGGATACTTTTTAGACGGAAAAACAACCACAGAAAATCAAATCATGGGAGGGGAGTTGTCGGCCTTAGTATTGACTTTGACTGTAATTACTATGTTAAATTATTATCTTCTTTTTCTTTAGTTATACAAAAGAGTTTAAAGAGAAAGAGATGACGGGGGAGAAGCTAACTTAAAGTGAACGTAAAGTGATTTGCACAATAATATTTAGTTTGGAATTTAACGTTTTTAAAAGGGTTTGGCTTTTCTGCTATTAATGTAGATAAATTATCTACATTGAATTCAAAATGACATTATTTTGAGATGAAAACAGTATAGTTTATAATTAAAATTTATTTCAAAATTATAATAGTCTTTCTTATTATAATTTTTTAATTTTTTAACCCAAAACGATATTGTTTTGGAAATGATTGTAAATAACTTATTTAGATTTAATGTAGAAAGATTTTAAAATGGCCTGATACTACTTTTCTTTTTTAATTTGATTCTGTGTACTTTTAATTGTTTAATTTTTTTTTCTTGGTTACATGTTTGATTATATATCTAAAAATGTATTCAAACGAAATGTAAAATTATTTATAAAAATACAATTTTACTTTTAGAGTTTGACTTAGTATTAGTGTAATTTTTTTATTTCTAATCATATGCTATTATGATTTAAAATTTTTATTTTTATTTTATAAGAATATTATTATTAAATTTTTTTGATATTATAACAACATACAAATGAATGAATAATAATGTGAGTAAAATTTATACATACAATAAATTAAAATTAAAATCCATAGGCAAAAAAAAATTAAAAAAATTATTCAATATTATCGTTTGTATTAGACTTAATACACGTCTTTGTATTTACTTAAAGACTAAAATATTAATTATTTTATTTTATTTTATTTGGTAAACAAATATTTTAAATAGTTAAGAAAGGGTCAGGATGTACATATAACATTTCTCATCAAAATATCCTCTAACATTTTCAGTAAAAAAAAGGAACAACGAGTTGAGTAGGTTGAATTAATATTGACAATAAACATTAATTTGAGGCGTTATTTGCAAAATAATGAACAATCTTGTATTCAACTAATATTGATTTCAGCTTCTAAGTTAGGAGTGAAGTTAATATGCTCTGGGACTTCAAAAAATTGGGTGGGACTGAGGTGAGAGATATAGAGAAAAGTTGAAAAGAGAGGAGAGAGAGAAAAAAGAAGAAGAAAATTAATACAGATGTCAATTTTTGAATGGAAGGACCACGGTGGTCCCAGTGCATATTAAAAAATTCTCTAAGTTAGGGCTTGAGAATAGTTTGAAAAGACTTTACTATAGACTCGTGACGAGTTGAGCTTTTAGTTGTTTTGGAAACAACTTCAATTAGCTTTTTTATGTAATACATAAAAAGTATTTTTTAATTAAAAAATTGAATATTAAAATTAAAAGTAATTTTTATGTATAAAATTACTAAAAAAATATGTAAAAACAAATTATTAAAATAATATTTGGGGATAATAATAACTATGGAGGTGACAAGGTGATGGTGATGGCAGAGATGGAAATAGCAATAGTAGTGGTGGGGTAAAGGCGGTAGTAGTTGTGGGAATTATGGTGATGGTGAAAGTGAAGGTGAGATGGTAATGATGGTGACAACAACAACGTTAACGACATAGGGGTTGATTGATGTTGGGATGGCATAGAAGTCATAAAAAAAATTAAATTCCTTTTTCGTTAAGCTAAGAATTTTGACTTTTAAAAAGAGCACGAGTTAAAAATCAAATATTTATTTTCAAAATTTAAATTCATTATAATCCCAACCTTAAATTCAACCAACTTCTCCACCATCACCGCCACCACATCTGCCATTGTCGATAAATCTTGCTTCCTACAATAACCCGAATAATTAAATTATATAAATGAAAATTATTTAGTAATTAAAATGAGTGTGGAATGTTTACCAAAAAAAAAAATGTGTGGAATTGATTCCATGGAATTATGACTTAGGGTTTGCATGACAACCATTCTATTCCCTAGCACTGTTTCTGAAAAGAAACAATTCTTTTCTATTTATGTGTCTTGAAACAATTTCTGAGAAAAAAATGTGTTTGATAACACGTTCTATTTTTATCCCAAGAATGAGAATTGTGTTTGATAACACAACAA